GCTGAGGGGTGAGGAGGGAGAATGCCTTTTGTCTCCGTTCAGATTTGGAGGTGTCGTGGCTGATTCTTGTTTTTACCAACACATTCTTGTTTTTACCATCTATTTTGCCTAGGTCAGAAAAAATGTGTCCTAGGGAGTTGCTTTTTTTACAGCATTGGATAAATGTAAAGATAGAGAACTTCTTTATTCCTAGGAAAAGGAATGCTTTTCCTAGGACTGCAAGAACAGTTTTTCTGCAGAAAACACTGCCGTGATTCAGCTGCTGAGCGTGCAGCCGCTGTTAATTATACCCTCCAGGTTGTAATTACGTGTCCATGGGGCTTAAGCAGCTTTTCGGGTATTAAAGTTCTTCATGGTGGCATTGGGTTTTGAATGATTTGTCTTTAGGTCAGAAGCAAAATAACTGTTCAAACCCTGATGTAATTGTTCATTAAATTACCTTGGCTTGAAGGCTTTATAAATAGTAAGCAAACGTGTGTGCTGTTTGTGAAATGCTAAAAAAAAAGGCACATCCTCACCAACGTTATGAAGCTATTGCTGTGCTGAGCCCAGGAGCTGATTCTCTGAGTATTCAGGTGATCGGTTCTTAAGTCACATTGAAACAGTAGTATTTCTAGAGAAGACATGGATGTTAATACAACGAAATGAGACATTTAAAAAATACTTCATCTTTAGGGCCATGTGCATTCAGTTTTATTAGAAGGAAGTTAAGTGTATCCAGAGGGACCTTGACAGGCTGGAGAGGTGGGCCACTGCCAACTTCATGGAGTTCAAGGCCAAGTGCAAGGTCCTGCGCCTGGGTTGGGGCAATCCCAAGGACAAGAACAGGCTGGATGGAGAGTGGATAGAGAGCAGCTCTGAGGAGAAGGACTTGGGGTACTGGTGGATGAAAAACTGAACATGAGCCGGCCGTGTGCGCTGGCAGCCCAGAAAGCCAGTTGTATCCTGGGCTGTATCCAGAGAAGTGTGGCCAGCAGGTTGAGGGAGGGGATTCTGGCCCTTTACTCTGTTCTTGTGAGACCCCGCCTTTAGTACTGCATCCAGCTGTGGAGCCCTTAACATCGGAAGGATGGTGAAGGACCAGTTGGAGCAAGTCCAGAGGAGGCCACAGAGATGCTCTGAGGGCTGGAGCCCCTCTGCTATGGGGACAGGCTGAGAGAGTTGGGCTTGTTCAGCCTGGAGAAGAGAAGGCTCCGGGGAGACCTTATAGCACCTTCCAGTGCCTGAAGGGGCTACAAGGAAGCTGCGAGGAACTTTTTACAAGGGCCTGTAGTGACAGGACAAGGGGTAATGGGTTTAAATTGAAAGCGGGGAGGTTTAGATTAGATATCAGGAAGAAGTTCTTCCCGGAGAGGGTGGTGAGGCACTAGGACAGGTTGCCCAGAGAAGCTGTGGATGCCCCATCCCTGGAAGTGTTCAAGACCAGACTGGATGAGGCTTTGAGCAACCTGGTCTAGTGGAAGGTGTCCCTGCCCATGGCAGGGAGGTTGGAACTGGGTGATCTTTAAGGCCCCTTCCAACCCAAACCATTCTATGATTCTATGTATTTCCTAAAGCAGCAGTTTTTTTCAGTTTTCTTTTAAGTGTGTGACAGAATAAACGTGTCTTTTTAGAACTGTGTTTTTTCAGTACTATGGGTGTTGGAGAATATCTTTAAATCTATCATCTGGAATATGGCTGGATCAGTGTAGCTGACATGAGTTGTTGTTATTTCGGTGTCAGTGAGATACAGTGGCCCAGCATCTCTTTATGCCTCCTCTTTGGCTCCTGTAGGCCTTTAGATACAGGGTGTGTTCGCTGAGTTCTGATCGAAAAGACAGTGGGTCAGCTGGCCAAAAGCAAACTCTCGTCTCACAGTGATAGCCTCTTTCTTAATTTTTTAAGTTACTGGGGCTTTTTAACAGCAGTTTCTTTTAACCTTTGCAGAATCAGGTAGCAAAACAGTAGCAGGGACCACCACAGCTGAAGAAGCTGCTAAAATCCTGGCAGAGAAGCGACGTCTAGCACGGGAGCAAAGAGAGCGTGAAGACCAAGAAAGAATTCAGAGACAGGAAGAGGAAAGGTAACAATTCAGGAGAAGGAAGGGGTGCTTTCAGTGGTGGGGTGTGGTTGGAGTGGACACCGGCTGTATACGTTTCCTAAGTTTTAATTAGAGTTCCTGTAAATCTTGACACAGTTCCTGAAGCAGAGACAGGCACCAGCACCATCTGGGAGGGGACAGGTTGCTGTGCATATCATTAACCAGTATCTCCGGGTATATGTAACGCACCGTCCCTGTGCTGATGCTTTGTCCTACCACTCACCCCTGGTGTTTTTATTTCAAATCTAGAATCTGCTTTTTTACACCATTTGTATTTGTTTTGTTGCCTTGAAACACACAACTGCTCTGTATTAAACTTCCCGTTGATGAACTTGGGCCCGGGTTTGATGGTATGTTAAATCTCACGCTAGTGATCCAAAATCTGGATCAAAAATGTTGCAGCCAAGTAATTCAAAGTGATAAATCAGTGTGTATTTGTTTCAGTGCACGGGACTTGTTAAAAATAACGCCTTTGTGCTAACTAGCCTTATTCCAGATCAGGGTTGACCTGTGTGTGCCTCCGTGTACCTTAGGAAGCGTTCGGTTTTGCGGGTTGGCCACTATGGGTGTAAAGCTGTCATGAACTTGCTACAGAGGTTGCATCAGAAACACGATGTCGCTAGGTCCGTTGTGTCCATCTGCATGATCTGGCAGCGTATGCCTCCAGTGTATCTCTGGAATTGGGACTACAGAAGAAAGTCTTTTCGAAAGTCCAGCTAAATTGGTTTTGCAGTGGTAGAAAGCCTCATTCAGGGTGTGGATGCAGGTGGTATTTGTTAACTAGCTGTAACAATCCAGTTCTCAGTCAAACATTCCATTATTGGAGCAACCTGCCTTGGCCTTGACTTAGTCAGTGGAGAACATTCATGTACTCCTAGGTGGTTTCTTCCAAGTTACTCTGCTTTTTCCTTTGGCGGGTCTGGATAGTGGAGTTGGTAAATCCACACCAGAAAGTATCTTTACGCAGTGATGCTGGGATTGGGTAATTCAGAACTTCCTTGCTTTCCTAGTCTTTCCCCCGTGCATGCACACCTTTAATGAAATAAATACCCAGTTGTGTCTTGGAAACAGAATCAGAGACGAAGAAACGGCCAAGAGAGCAACTGAGGAGAAGGCACAGCGGGAGGAAGAGCTCCGCAAGCAGGAGGAGGAAAAGAGACTGGCTTACGAAGAGCAGCAAAGACAAGCTGAGGAGGAGAGGATCCGCCGAGAACAGGAAGAGCAGGAAAAACTTGCGGAGCTTCAACAGCAGGTCTGCTTATCTGTAGACTCCAGCTGTGTTCCTCAGACAAGCTGCTGGCATGTTTTCCAGGGGGTTGTCCTTGATTTTCTGTCTGAGAACGGTTTTGGCAAATGTGGCAGGAATGATGTAAAGCAGAGTTCGTCCTGTCTGAGATGGATTTGGGAACATCTTGAAATCCTTCCCTTGCCTTAGTCTGTGTGATTTATGTCTTTTCCAATATTTGATAAATTCAAGTATGGGGCAGAAGCAGATATTTTGGAAATCTTTCAGCCATCTGGAATGATATTTTGCATACGTAAAATACTTTTACTGAGCCCACTTCACCATCATACTGCTGCCAATTATAAGAAGGTGGTCTGTCTGGGAATTCATCTGGCTTGCTCTGATTCCTTTCAAAGGAAGATGGGTAGTGTTTCCCAGTCTGCTTTTCCGGTTGCTAAATAATCTTCCAGAGCTGGTATCTGTACCGTTACGAAGGCAGCCTTCGGACTGAAGGAAGCTGGTTTACGGGAAGTGGACTTGGTTTAAATGTGATCGATTTTGAAAATTACAGCAGTTTTACAGTGAAATTCTCTGTGTTCAGAGAGCTGTATCTTAGGGACAGCACTGACGTGTCTGAATGTTTCTTGTAAGAGCCTGTTGAAGTTTCTAACGATTCTAACGGAGTGCTAACTATGCTTTATCTTCTTTCCAGTTATACTGGGAAAGATTTTCCAGTCTAGAAGGAACAGAAGATGTTCAGCACCCAGTATCTTGGCAGTAATACCCAACTGCCAAGTTTTTTAAGTAAACCTTGCCACGTTTAGAATTTAATTGCTGTCTTACTACTTTATAAATTATTCTCCTTAGATAAATCTTCATCCTGAAGTATAGTTTGAGCCCTGAGCAGCTCAACAACGTTTAGAATATTTGCATAATCACAATAGAGCCTTGCACATCATTTGTCTTTTCAGATCAGTTTCTGAATGCCATAATCATATATATTTCATCTCAGTAGCTGGACCGTTGGTGTTTAGCTGCAGTGTAGGGTAGTACTAAATAGTGATTGTCGGATGTTCCTGTCTGTGTTGAACCAGAATCTAACAGCTCTGCTTTTGACTTTCGGGAATGAGTTGTGCACTGGGCGTTGTTCTTGTTTTATCTTCAGAGAGAAGAAGCTGAAGCAAAAGCTCAGGAAGAGGCTGAAAGGCAGCGGCTGGAAAGAGAGAGAATTATGCAGCAAAATATGCAGGAAAGGCTTGAAAGAAAAAAGGTACGCTGTTCTGAAAGCAGGGAGGTTTCTCAGCCAAAAATAGTGGCTGAGGTGTTAAACTGAACAGGCAGATGGTCTCGGATGCATTTAAATAGAGGCAGTGTGGTTTCTTACGACCGCCAACTCTGGCTTGTGAGCTTTAAAAATGGTGAGTAGTGAATGTATGAAATGTGAAAATATATTAGATTGATGAAAATGTAAACCAGGAGGCTGAAATATCAGTCTCTGTATGTCATTGCAAATATTTTACCTGTTTTAACAGAGAATCGAAGAAATAATGAAAAGAACACGAAAATCGGATCAAAACGAATCCAAGGTACTTTTTGGTTTGGATTGCTGTAGTGACAGAGTAGGTCCCTCCCCGAGAAGACTTTGCCTTGTGTCAGTCTCCCTCTGCAACCCTTACACAAACCAGCTTCCCTGTGAGGTGCAGGGTTCTGGTGCACCAGAGCAATTTTCAGTAGCCTCCCTTTGCACACATTCTTCTGCTATGCTGCTTCTGACCACAAGTCTTCCATGTGTTTCTGTTCAAGGCGTATAAAACCAGCGTGATCTGGTGCTGTCACTTGCAGATTGCTTAAAAAAACCCACTGGTTGGTAATGAATATGGGTTTTTTACCTGTATGCATTCTGCTGGGGCTGGTTTTCCCCAAAAAACTGAAATGCCTGGCTCCATCTGTTTGCTTAAACCAAATGTTGGATGCCCCTTGATGGCTACAGTGAACTGGATGTATTTTGGTTAGTGCAGTGACCTAAGGTTTGGGGTAAATGATGGTTTTTGTATTAAGGAGTAGCCATTCTCTCCAAACATTCAAAGACCCAAGTGTTCATATAGCTGAATAGTCACTGTTCAGCTCATGCCTTGGAGAAGTGAGGGGGCAGGAGCTCAGGAGTAGTTCACAGGCAGGAGATAGAGGTGGGTGCCACGTGTTCATTCACAGGCCCTGGCTCAGCACAGTGTTGTTGGTGGGTGACCTGGCGCAGCGTGGCCTTGCTGCTGGGCACAGAACAGCCCTGCGTGGGAGCTGTGGTCGAAGCAGTTGTGAAGTGCTAGCTGGTAGTGAGTTCTTCCAGCTAAACCTCTGGCAATTCAGTTGCAGAATGAAGGGAAGTCTGCCGCTGAGGCTATGGAGGGAGAGGATATTGAAGAGGAGGAAGAGTTGGGTCTTGAGAAGACTGATCAACCAGGTAAGGAAAGCTGATGAGTCAGGTCGGAGTGGCAGCCAGTCTCGGTGATGTTTAAGCATTGTTTAAAGTGTCTGTCGCTTAATAACATTGTGATGGTCTGAGACGCGAGCCCCCGCCGTGCCAGGGAGGCTCGCTGCTTGAACAGAGAGCAGACCGTTGGCTTTCCATGCCACAGGAGACAGTCCAGATGGTTAAACACAGAAGTGAGTTGAGAGTCAGATACAGGCAGCCTGCTTGCATTTTACAAGTCTGTTTTTAATGATGGAAAACAAATTGCATGTTGTTACAGGCAGGTTGTCTGCAGAGAAGTGACTTTATTGAAGCCGAATAAGTGTTGTTAGGAAAGGTCATTTTGGCACTTTTTTCCATTTAGAGTAGCGGTCCTGTTACTGAGGCTTTTTTCTTCTTTTCTCCCCGCTTTCAGGAAAGCTCAATGGCGTTGACTTGCCCCAAGAAGGGGCAGAGGGTTGTTTAGAGACTGCGTGTGGCTTGATCTCCACAGACCTTGAGGAGCAAGATGTGCTGGAGTCGAAGGCCAGTGAAGTGTTTATGAACGGAGGCGATTTGGAAAGCGACGCGGAGTGTCTGATTGTTACGGGATTAAAAGATTCCAGGTGAGTCTGCGTAGGTGGCTCTTTCGCTGTCGGAGCGGTCAACTGTCACATGAGAAATCCCTCTCTCTGTTTAAACAGTACCGCACGTAGCGTTGCATCAAATTTCGCACCCCGCTAGCTTTGGGGCGCTTGGCTGGCTGCGGTCACGCGGCGTGCGCGTGCTGTCCGCACACCGCTTTGCGCAGGGGCGGTTAGTTCAGTTGGGTTTTTAGGTGACACCGTGTTAACAGCATGGGCTTTGCTGAGCAGTGGGACACGGAGCCAGCAACGTGGCAGTGTTACTCATAAAGAACATCGGCTTGGCATCTTTTCCCTTGAGACGGTGGCTAGCAGTCACTTCATTAACAAAACATTAAACAAGAGGGAGGGGGACAACGCTGAAAAAGAAGAATAACCTACAAAAAGCTCTGGAACGTTTTCAGTTGTGCTGAAACGCCAGATACAACACACAAACCTCCCTTATTACCATTTCAAATTTTATCTTTTTGAACATAAAGCATTTCCATCTACTACTGGAAAATCCGACCTCTGATGCTTGTTCCATTTGCTCATCTAAATGCTAATGATTTAGAATTGACATTGTGAATTTTTTTTTTTTTAAGTGATGATAAATTCATTTTATTCCTCCAGTGATGGAATATAAAGACTTTATCATCATTTTCTTAAGAATGAATGAAAACTGATCACACTGCTTTGGTTTGAGGTTTAAAATGTGGTTCAAGTATTGTGAGGCTCAGTCTTGTGGTTTAAAAGGCTTAACTAGAGAAAAAGGAAAAATGCACACTACTAAAAGAGCCGTTTAATGGTGCAGGGCTTTAAATTTGTTGCTTTCTTAGGTCAGATTTCTGGAGCCAGACCTACCTGAGAGCTATTAGTACAGTAAAACGTATTTAGAATCATAGAATGGTTTGGGTTGGAAGGGGCCTTAAAGATCACCCGCTTCCAACTTCCCTGCCATGGGCAGGGACACCTTCCACTAGACCAGGTTGCTCAAAGCCTCATCCAGCCTGGCCTGGATCACTTACAGGGATGGGGCATCCACAGCTTCTCTGGGCAACCTGTCCCAGTGCCTCACTGCCCTCTCTGGGAAGAACTTCTTCCTGATATCTAATCTAAACCTCCCCACTTTCAATTTAAACCCATTACCCCTTGTCCTGTCACTACAGGCCCTTGTAAAAAGTCCCCCCCAGCACCCTTGTAGCCCCTTCAGGTACTGGAAGGTGCAATGAGGGCTCCCCAGAGCCTTCTCTTCTCCAGGCTGAACCCCCCCAACTCTCTCAGCCTGTCCCCATAGCAGAGGTGCTCCAGCCCTCGGAGCATCTTCGTGGCCCTCCTCGAAGATGGTGAGTTTGTTGGTGAGTCACTGGCTCTTGGAGGGGAGATCCCGCAGGGTGGCTAGAGGAGCTTGTCTGGGAATGCCTGTCAGGACACTCGGCGCTTTGCAGAGACTACGGACTGCTAGTGGCTGGCCTGTGATCAGCCTGAAGGTTAAATGTGCAGCAATTGTAACACAAGCATCCGTTCTCTTTTTTTTCCTAGCTACCCTGCAAAAGAAATGGTTATTGATGACACGGTGAAGTTGGGTGTTAACGAAGCTGATCGTACAGTTGGACTTACTCAGAATCTTAATGGAAAATCTGGTTCATGGACTTTTGAGGAGTTTATTGACGTTGGAGTACATTCCAAGTCAACCAAACTGACCTCAGACAGCATCTCTGCTGGTAACTGTGATCAAAACTTGAATGATGCTGCTACAATACCTTCTAGTCCCAAATTGGCTTTTGAGGAAGATGGTGCAGTGAATTCATTGACCAAACCTGTAGATGCTTCATCAGGTAATCCAAGCTGATCTCCCTACCTGTCTCTTCCTCTGGCTAGGTAATTAACTTCTCTGCATTCTACTCTCCTTGCCTTAACTTCAGCTTCTTACTTTCAAGGCACTTTTCCCAGTGTGTAGACCAGAGGAAAAGCTTTCTTTAGTGCTTGTAACTCGCATTCTGCCAGGAGTCACCAACTGATGCCTTTTTAGGGACTCGCTGTAGACAGCAGCTAAGGCCCAACGTTAAGGCTCTTCCAAAGACACAGCTGAGCCCCTGTGAAGCTCCTGTATCTCCTGCCAGCGCTCAAGTCCGTTTGCTGTATCTTTAGGCTGCTTCTGAGATGTCTTAAATGGCACATGTTACTTTTGAAGATACTAACAGTTTAAAAGGTGTCTGATGTAACTCTACAGACAAGATGGTTCCACTCCTTCCCGCTCTTAGGTGTGTTCTGTAACTTTTTGATGCTGGCTGCGTGGCCTCACAAGGTCTCTCCGGGCTCTGGCAGGGTATTAGCTGTCCTCTACTTACTGCAGAATAGCCTTTCACTTCACTGAGGGGGGTAACACCAACCTTAAACCCTACAGACGGTTGTGTTACGTTGTGGGAGGAGTCGTAAAGCTGCACACATGATATTCTGAATTCTCTGGAACATGTCTGAAGCCGCATGTGCTTGAGAAGCCCAGCCCTGGTGCAGTACAGCATAGCGTGTCAGAGAGGCTTCAGCAGGTAGCGTAGGTAAGGCTGAAGTTCTCCGCTGTTGGAGCTAAGCCCCAGGTGGACGCACGCGCAGCAGGAGAGCTCTCTCCGTGAGATAAATGACTGCGTGAACGGCTGACGTGAATGGCAGTGGAAGAACCGAGACTTGCTATCCACCTTTTCTTTAAGTGATGTGTAGCACTTTTTTTGATTAAAGTGTAGCACTTTTCTAGACTGAACTGTTTCCCGAGTCTCCTCTGTCACTCTGCGTCTCGTGAGTTTTTGTCCCATGGACACAGCCTTATTGGCGCTTCCCCTGGGGCCACCACTGCGTGGGCCATGGGCCATCTGATGGGATCCTCCTGATCGCGTTTCCTTCTCATCAGAAGCATTAACTTTTTGATGAAGAAAGTGTTGCCTTTTAACGTTGAGATGGCAAACGTTTAGACGTAATGTGGTTGATTAGGTACGTAACTCTGCAAACGAACGTCGGTGTGTAGAACCAGGAAGGCTCCTCTGCTGATTCTGGGCTGTACGTACCTCCCTGAGTGTAGGCTGACCGGGGCCGTAGATGCACACGGCTGCGATGGTTACATGTTTTCTTCTCTTTGCTCTTTGGACAGAACTGTGAACCTGGAAATAATCTGATTGCACTTCAGTAATCCAGTGTTTTGTCAAGCACCAAAGGCCTTGCTTTGAAAAGCTGCTTGTTTACCTTTATCCAGCTTCAAGTTTGCAAAAAAAAGCACCAGGGGAGGGATGAGAAACTTTGAGATTTGCACCTTGAAACGTTTCAGGGAACTATTGTGACGATGTTCCTTTTCCATTCGTTCAGCCAATTGTCCGTTTTCCTTGTTCAAATATCATTTGTTTCCCTTTTACAGACTTCACAGTAACTGGGGGGGTGTGTGTGTGGCTTGGTTTTTTTCATATGGGTATCCTGTACCCCAGCATGCCACGGGCAGCTCCCCAGTGAGCTGCTGGTCAGATCCTGCATATTCCCGAAGTGGCATTTGATGAAGTAAGACTCGGTGGGTGTGTGTTAAAGCTGAGCTCCCTCTGCAGAGCTCTGGAGAAACGCTGTCACTTGCTGGTGTACGTGCTGTCTGACAGTGCGGGGCCGAGTGTGTTCCGTTTTGAACAGAGAAGAAAGTTTTCTTGGTTTCTAAAGTGAAAGTATGGGCAGTTTCAAAATGCAGTGTCATATCATGGCCAGTGTGTTTTAATCTGTTGGACAACATCTAAGATTTTACAGCATATGCACTAATAGGTTACAAAAACGTGGAGCACCCAGGTGTCTCTGTCGTAGTGCAGTTTAACGTGTCATGCTTTTAACAATGTTTACCTTTTGAATTATTTATCTACGCTCATGGAAGTATTATTTTATTGTGTACATAACAGTATTAGACCACTGGAGTCCTGTTCATGTGAATTATTCTGCGTTCCTCTTGTAGCTCTGTAACAGTGGCTGAGGCTGCATATGTATTTCCCTTCCCCTAAAGCTTCCAGTGAGTAATTTACCTAAACTTGCCTGCTTTTTACAGCATGAAGAGATTAACTAAGCGTCTTCTGGAAAGTGCTACTAAATGTAATAATGCAGTCTTGCTCTTGCATCCCTGTGGCAGATGTATGGATAAGTGACAGCCGTACAGAATAGCTGTCCCCGGTCCTGCCACAAACCACCGGCTCGTACTTCCGTTCCAGTGAATCCTCCAACTGGCAGCTTGCAGGGGTTAAATGCAAGCTCTGCCGGAACTGGAGGTGTTCCTTCCTCCGCATCGCAGCTGCAGTAGGCACCCTCAGCCTTCTCACTCTCACCCTTCAGAATATGGTAGAACTGTTTTAGACTTTAGAGCAGTGCCTTAGGGAAAAGGAAAAATATATTTTTGTACGATAGCTGCTTCATTCCGGCAGAGACAATCATTCTAACGAAAAAGATGCCGATGTTTTTTCTGTGCTCGCATTAATCTGTCGATTGACCTGTTACGGCTCTGTGTAAATATGTGCACACTGTTAAATAAACTTTGCAGTTGAACATCACTTTCTTTCTGTAGTGCTAAACATTACCTTACTGGGAGCCTCCAGCCCCTTGCCACACTGACCTGCCTCAAGACACACTCCGGGACTGCTCTGAGTACTCCTCACTAGTACCTCTCTGGCAGCTGCGTTGGTGTGATCAGGGAGGGGTTTGCACTAACACCCTCAGCGCTGGATGTGTGTGTTCATGCTGACAGCCTGTTCCTAACTCTGGAATTCCTTAACTTGCTTTTCCCTGTAAGCCTTTGCCTTTTACTTGTAGCACCAGTATCTTTATGTTCGAAGGGTGAGTCTGGCGGCGCGCCATGGCCACCGTGGAGCAGTGGCTGTCAAGAACAGAGCAAGAAAGCCGCCTTACGGTTTTCCTGCGAGGGTTTTGTTTCTGGCAGGTGCTTGTGAATGAAAGGGAATGACTGGAGCAGCATCCAGTTGATAAATATTTCTGTGTGGTGTCAGCCACTGCTGTAGAAAACAACCTTAAACCAGCGCTTGGGTAGCTGAAGGGTAGTAGTAGATCCATGCACGGACAGTGGCCATGCCTGTGTTCTCCAATGGGATTTTTCACACAGGCTGTTCTTAGCAGATGCTCTGGTGCCAGTTATGTGTTTACAAAAATTAATTAGTTTATGGAAATTTTTGCTTTGGTGCTCAGCTGTTTCAGGGCGCTGCAGTGGAACAGCCGACTCTGCTTTGCCATTACCGGTGTGTCAGACCTGGTGGCAGCAGCTCAGCCATGAGGGGTTCAGGTGTGTAAGATGGCAAAATGAAGAAACCACTTTGCAGACTGTCCGAGTCCAAGCAGGAACTAGTCTCATTTTTATTAGAGCATAAAACATACACTGACAGGACGGGAGAGCTATCGTGTCTGAGCTGGTTGTAAGGCACTTCTAAATGTATGTGTGTTGTAGTTGAAAGATCTAAGTCTTGTTAATTGATTAATAATAGACAGCCTCGTTTAAACAGTGGTGTAAAAAAAGCTGGCGAGCAGAACTTTTGGGCAAACCATGCGGAGATCAAGACTAAAACAAGTTTATGGCAACTTAACTGCAGCTAAATCGTACTTCCAAAATATTGTTCTGCGTCAGATGAAGCCATTCCCTACGCTTGCGGCTGGGTGCGGTTGGGTAAACTGAGTCAGGCCTTGCTGCGCCGCTGTTAAGGCTGGGATGGGCGTAGGGTACCTGCACCTGTAACAGCGCGGCAGCGATCGCTCTCAGCCCAGGCGCAGCCGTTGCACCTCCGTTTCCGGACTGCACGCCTTGTCAAACCAACCTCGTTTAAATGCCAAGCTTAAACGGATAGCGGGCAGGTTTACAACGAGCTTTGTTTCAGCTTAAGCCACACGCGGATGATGGGGGATGTGGATCGCTAGTGCTAAATCGAACGGCATTTTGGGCCTTCACGCTAAGAGTTACTTGGAAGCAGAGTTAGATTTTTTGCAACGCTGCATGCTTTTGTACTGCAGGAGCTTCAAAAGTCAAACCCAGTATACTGAGGCTACTTTTGGTTTTATACTAAAATGGAAAAAAGTTAAAATTCTTAACATGCGAAAACCTGCTCCTTTACCAGGCCTGTTTTGGAAATCAGGGCTCTAAATCCACTTTACAGCAGTTGCTCTCTGCTCCTTACAGTCGTTTGGGACACTCAGCACAGTAAATTTTTCCATTATGGCAAACAAAGCGCTTGTTGGCCAGACCACGGGCACACTTTGTGCATTTGAAACAATAATCGTGCCAGGATTCATCTTCGTAGTTAACCACACTGGTTCCTCTTCCAAATCCTGCTAGGAGAGAAAACAATTATAGGACGGCGATAGTAGCTTTTCCCGTGGCTGGGTTGGCCCACCAAACAGCAGATCCCACTCTTCCTGCCTCCCCTGCTCCTGTAGGCTCGCAGACCAGATTTGTGTGCCCAAAATACGAGCCGAAATTGCAACTGAACAGTGTTGTTTGCTGCTCAGTGTTACTGCTCTTAGAGAAACAGGCTTAGTGTAAGGCTTGTGTGTCTTGTCTCTGCAATAAGCTTGGATCCTTTCTCCAGGAAACAGTCAAGCTGATGGAAAGATGAAGATGCAGAGCAAGGACAGGTTGGGCTAAACGCCCTACCTGGTTGTTACGGGCTCAGAGCCGTGCTCAGCAACGCAGGATGGAATGCAGGTCTTGTGGGTCTGGCAGGATAGTCCTCACATTTTAGGGGCTGGGCTCTGTAACCTCGTGCAGTGCACCAGCAGCAAAGCTACTGCCACTTTGGGGCAATAAAACACTGATCTCGTTAGACTGGGAGTTCCAAGAACTAA